AGAAAGAAAAAGTTCATCTCTGTTCTATAAAATGTTAAAAACTGATCATACACATAGGAGTACACTCTGGTCAACATTTCTGGAGAGCTATTTGGCAAATATGCTCCAAAATATTCCTAAGGAAATAACTGTCATTTGCATAGAGATTTATTCCATTTTCTGAATAATGGAAAAATTATAAGCTACATTAACATTGACCACTGGGGATAGGTTAAGTAAATTATGGTGCAATCTTACAGTGGAACACTATACACAAATTAAAGAACCCCAAATATTTATTTTGGTTTCTTCCCTCTATTACCAAAAAAAAAAAAAAAAAAAATCCTTTTTTTTTTTTTAAAAACATTAAGCACAAAAGGACAAAGATATTGGGAGAGAAGAATACAACAACAAAACTTTAAAACTGGAAAGCAGAAGGAAAAGTGGAAACTGACTCCACAAACTCACAAAACCTAACCCCTGACCTAACAGTGGAAACCATAATAGCCAACTATGACTCAGAAATTATCAAATCAGGTATCTCAAGTAGGGGTGAAAATAGGGCCAAAACCTAGAATTGGGCTCAAACCTACTTCATAAGCATCAAGATTTCAAGATTTATATATACCCTTAGTGCCGTACATGACTTGTTTTTAACCCCACATTCAATACTTTATTCTTCAATAACAGAGACAACCAAGGATCACTAAATATTTCAGTAAAGTTTCTAATGTGAAAAATATGGGGCAAAAATAACCCCTTAAATTAAAAACTTGGAAAACAGACTATATAAGTAAGTATAATTGAAAAAAAAAAAATTTTTACTCACATTCCTCAGAAACAAATAGAGGATATTCATTTCTGAAACAAGCACTATGTTATTTTTTAAAATAGTAGTATCATAAATGAGAAATATTCAGAAAAAGCTATTAGAAATTAAAACAGGAAGAAACCAAGAAAAAGACAAAATGAAAAATCGGAAAAAGAAATGAGAAACCATTCCATAAAGTCAAATATTCAAATAGTTCTAGAAAGAGAACAGAGTAACTAGATGGAAAGCAAAAATAAAATAGTCAAGATTTCAGAAATTAATGACTAAAAATTAACACATATGTTCACACATGATAAATAAAAACCCACAACATTGGGAAATTTCAGGATAATAAGGAAGTTGCTAAGAACTTACAGAAAGAACAAAAATCACATATGGATGAGGAATCAGAGTGGTTTCAGACCTCTAAAAATACAAGAAAACAAAATCTCTAATAGTTAGATGACAGTAGAATAATGCCTTCACAATTCTGGAGGAAAATAACCTTAAACATAAAATTCTATACCCAGCTGAAGTGTTCAACCAAAAGTAATTATAAAATAGACATGAGGGTCTCAAAATATTTACCTTACAACCACTCTTTTCCCAAGATGTTACACAATGTGCATGACAAAAATAATTAATCATAACAAAGAAGTCTAGGGACCCAAATGTAGTTCAATTCAGGAGGAAAACAAAAAACCAAACAGATTAATAGTGAAGAAATCCTAAAATGACAGCTTTATCACAGAAAAAAAACAAACTACTCCAGACTGGTACACATCACAAGACTCCTTGAAAATATTATTGAGGAAGATAAAACTAACCATTGGACTCAATGTCTCAAAAGGAGGTTTAGACAGGTAGAGTCTGAGGGCTGAATAAGCACCTAAAAAGTATATATGGACTTTAAAAATGATTAACTCCAGAGAAAACAAAGCATTGTGCAGAAAATGAAAAGTAGCTATAACATGCTGCGTGGCTCACTAGTAATTAGCACTTAAAACATATACACTGGATACAAATCCAACCAAAATTATGACACTGTCACAGAAAGAATTGGGGAAGGGTATATGCACACCCATGAGTATATGCACATGAGTAAAAATGCTAAATCCTGATTTTCCATGCTGTGAAGGAAAAGTGTTATGCCTAAAAGTGAAAGATTAATAAAGAGCAGAAACATTTCATTCCACGATCTAGACAGACAGGAGACAAAAATGTCGTATCAAGAAAGACAGAAGACAGACTAATATATTTCTTAAATAAAAGCCAAAAGAATTCTTTAAATTTCTTTGTACTAAACAAAAAAACTTACAAACTCAAAAATTATATACAAGAGTATATATCAGTACATTCAAGAGTGGTTGCCAGTCTGTACTGATAAAAGGAACTTGCAACAGACCATAAATCAACTACATCACTAAGAACATTGCTGACAATTTTTCTGCAGCAAGATTTTCTTGGTGAAAGAAGCAATGCCTTGATTTACATTCTGGCTCAAACTCTTTATATCATACCAAGACACTTTGAATTGGACTGGTATAGATCAAGGGTCAGCAAACTTTTCTGTAAAAGGTCAGATAGCAAATATTTTAGATTTTGTAAGACATATGGTCTCTCTCACAACTATTCAACCTTTGTACTGGGAAAACAGTTAAACACAATATATAAACGAACAGATATGGTTATGTCCCAAATTATTCATGACATTGAAATGTGAATTTCATATATTTTCATGTGCCAAAAAAATATTTTCTCTATGTGAAATACATTCTCAACTCACAGGCCATACAAAAACAAGTAGTGAGCCAGATTTGGCCCACATGCCATAGTATGCCAGTCCTAGAATACTAAATTAACTGCAATCAACTTAGGTTTTTTTTTTTAAAAAAAAAAAAGAAAAAAGAAAAAACAGATAGTTTCACTCATATGTGCAACACAGGGAAACAAAACAAGGGTCAGACAAAACCAAACCAAAAATGAACCCTAGAAGTTTGAATGTAAAATTGAAGATATGGGAGGTGTACAGAGAAGTGGGGAGGGAGCCCAATGGGCCACAATGGAGGACAATGGTGTCTTTGTGTGGGTGTGGTGTGGTGACATACATCTGAAGTACTGGGCGCTTACACCTCTGAATCATAATGTTGTAAGCCAATGTTACCACAATAAAAAAAAAGTTTCTAAAATGTTAAGAAAAAGAGCTATGTCATAGTTTCCTCTACTATGAGTTTTTCCTGTATCCTTTGTATGCATTTGTCAGTTTTAAAAATAATAATATTGAATTTCAAAAACCCAAGAAGTTTTAAAACCATTTTTCTACCTACAAGTACATTTTTCTCTTTACTTACTAAGCAGGTCTAGATCAAGATGACCTAATTTATGTCTCAGATTCTTCAGGAGAGTGGTTATTTCTCATAATCCTCTATCAGATAACGTCTAATGGCAATCTTCTCTACTCTAGCATTGTAATAAAGAAAATTTCATTGTAGAGAAAAAAACCTCATCTTGTTTCAAAATAAAACACAAAAAGCTAAAGAAAAAAAAATAAACAAAAAAACCCCAGATCCTGGATTTTACAAAAGGAGTTTTCCCTTTACTAGTTAGCAATAAAATCATATTTAAAGTAAGGGCAAACCTACTGATTCAATTATCTGATCACTGATTTTCTCTCTTTGGCAATGCCTTCGCTCCCCAATCAGCAAAGACCCCAAAATTCTTCAAAATTCTGAAGGTTTTTCTACAAGCTCAGTTTCAAAGGAAAAGGGGCTACAAGGGACACCAGAGGGTAGTGGGGCTCTGCCAAGCTTTATCAACATTGCAAAGGCCATAAGCCCTTGAAGTGAAGGTGGTGAAAAAATGGAAGGTCTTCCTCCCTTGCTGAGTGAATGATCTTTTCATTGTGTGACTGTCCTCTCCAAAAAGAAGAGATTACAAGAAATGTAAGCGCTACCAAGAGAGCTCCACATAGAGAGAGAAGTCCAGGCTCAGTTTTCCAAGCCAGCATGGTCCTCACACAGAAAAGAAGCAGTGTCCATTCTGCTGTATACAAAGGTTTGGAAGAGGAATAGGGAAGTATATCCCACCAGGGACTAGTGCCACTAATGTCCACTCAAAGGTGAGATTATAGTAAACCTGACATCTGCTTGGAGATAACCTGCTAGAAGTGGGAAAAAGGTCACTTGAGCACTCTGTGACCTATTGCTTTGGGCATCATAAAAAAGAAAGAAAAAATTCAACCAATTCCTCAGAGACTTAAAATTTTATCATTCTAAGAGAAACCAGTCCAGGATTTCTCGGGCAGACAATGCCACCTAGTGGTCATTTCACATTAAAAAAATCACCATTAGCCGACAATGCAACTGCCACCTTTAGTCCAAGATGGATGTACCATTTTTAGTCCATAAAGACCAAGTTTCCAGAATCTCTTGCCAAAAGTAAAAATAAGATGAAAAACATAGAATTCTGGAAAGTGAGGAGAATGACCTACCACTCAAAGAACCAAACCCTGCAACTAGGGAAACACTTTCACAGTCTCCCTGATGGAACCAATCTGCTATTTCGTAGCTCTAGTTTCCTTCAAATCCACCATCCCAATTTGATCCCTTTCCCTCCCCAGGAAGAGCACAAGAGTCTATGGTGATGGTTCATGGGTGTCTTGGTAGTGGCAATTTTATGGGGACAACACCTGAGAGGAGAAATCAAACACTGTACAAAAATGAACAATATAAAAATATATAAATGAACAAACAACAACAATAAAAAACACACACATACCCATCCCAGGACATATCATGGAAGAAAATTCAGAAAAACATCAAGTTGGAAAACGTTCAAAGTCACAAAACAGAAAGAAGAGAAATGAGGTCACATATACCTGGTTATGGGAAATCTAAGAGAATGGTGTGTGCTAAGCAGACACAGAAAGACCCTCTGAAAATAGAGTATATCTCAAGCTGACAATGTCCACAACTTTAACACGTGAACTTCTAATGAAGATATGGTAACTTACAGCAGAATTTCAAGCTCTTAGGGTTTCTAAGTCCCCTACCATATAAAGAGACACATGCAAAAGCAGGCCTGCACATCCACACAGCACTGGCTTGCTTTGGAATCATCAAGAGCTGAAGTATATGATTGCTCAGATCTGTGTATTATCATGAGCTTGGCAACATCCATTTGGCATCTCAAGATACCAAGAATGACTCACCTTGGCCACAAACTGCTTATCCTTTTGGTCCAAATTAGCAGTGGGAGCCACATAGTCTCTCCATATTCTCAGCCTGCGCTCCTTGGCAAACCTGGCAATAAAACAAGGATGCAAATCATTCAGACAGACTAGGTCAGCATATGGAATCCAATATCCCCATGGGAGCAAACAGTATAGAATCCAACCCTACCTCAAAGACAAGGCACTCAGGAGAAAGGCCACCAGTCAAATCAGAACAAAGTGTGACAGTCACAAGAAAAAGTGTGTAGCAACTGGACCCATCCAAAATGTACACACACACCCCCATGGGTAGTAGACTGGGACCTAGGTGTGCTATTTTTTAAGTCTGGACAGTACAAGTTCACCTTGGCAATTAGCTCTTTGGCTTATCCAGTATCCCCTGAATAACTAATATACATGAGGCTCTAGAACAACAAACACAGAGCAGCTCAGTCTTAAATAGGAAGAACACAGGTTCTTAGAACAAATACATTCTCTAAAAAGTATAGTCCGCTTAATCGCCATTTGAATTATAAAAATTCAGTTACTCAAATTCTATGTAGAAGAATAAAATGGTCACTACAATACATCTAAATAATACGAAAAATGGACAAACATCAATAGTTCACTGAAGTTCAAAAATCAAGTTGGTAGAAATGTGTTTTACAGTACTAAGCCCAGTACTCATTGTTTTAAGTCAGACTAACAGTGGGAAATGGGCTGCGTGCAAAGATTTTTAAAAATAATAAATTAGGGCCTCCCTGGTGGCGCAGGCGGTTGAGTGCTGCGCTGTGAAGCTGTCCGCAGTCTCTGCAGCACCAGTTCAATTCCCAGCCAGCGAGGGTCCCACATGGCGCGGCAGATCTCGCCTCTCTCACCCGCTGCTCCCCTCAGCAGTATATTTCACCAGTCTGCCTGTTCTGTTCCCTGCTCTGCCTCTGGTGAATCCTCTCACCCTCCCGCACATTTGGCCTGTACCCCGGTTCTTGTATAAATAAATAAATCTTTTAAAAATAATAATAATAAATTAATAAATCAATGAACAGCGATCCTCACAGTATTTACAGACAGATGAATATGTGTGCAAGGGAAAGGAACTATTATTTCTGAAAACAGATTTGCAGGATTTTCTTTTTTAAGAAGCACTGAAGTGAAGAAAAGATAAAACAGCACGTCAGAGTTATGAAATACTTGGATAGAGATTTTCCCAAAAGTGCAAGCAGTTCAAATACAGCACGGAAAACAGCAAGTAATCATATTATCAAAATGATTTGCATTCCCTGATCTAAACTATTTTTTTAATGATGAGCACTCTCTAAAAATTCCATGAACTCTTCTATAGATGTTATAAAAGAAGTAGGTAGTACTTTCATTGCAACAGCCTTCTCAAAGAAAGGTAGGAATCAAGCAGTGCAAGAAGAATTATCAACCAAAATAATAATTTAGAATAATGGGCTTAGAGGATTTGAACAACAAAAAGCTAAGCATCACCAAATAATCAGAGGTTACTTGGAACACTGCATTGTACCTGATAAGAACAGTATTTGTTTCAAATTTAATTGTACCACACAAAGACTAACACAATTATTTCATTTTTTAAATCAGGTAATCTACCTTTGTCAGACATGCCATGTCAAATGGTCAGATAAAAATCTACTTTTATTTTTTTTAAATTTGCAAATATTTCTGCTTACAGATACAGAATGATGTGAAAGACCTAGAAAAGAAAGGAAGAGAGGAGAGAAAGCTGAAGTCATTCAATTCATGTTCCTGCACATCTCTTAGGTGAGTATCTCAAAGTTATCAAGTAGCGACATGAAGAGATCAAGACCATTACAATTTATAGTTCTGAAAAAAGACATACAACAAGAAGTTGTGATGGTGGAATACGGCCAACAGTCTGTGGTCTTCTGTGGTATCCAGGGAAGCGGTAGCTGGAATTTTCCTAAACATCACCTCTATTCATTACTCTTGCTTCCTTTTCTTCCATCAACCCCTATCAAGTTTCAAGAGGTTCACCTACAACTGGAAACGCTCAACCTAGATGCTTGAAACAGCCACCCATCTTTGAAATTTCTATGATCATTCTTCTGGAAACAAGTGATTTCTACATCTGCCTTAACCAGGGGGCATCTAGCAAAAACCATGACAGCAGCACCTCTCAGTGGATTAGCATTTATAATTAAAGCACATGTTTAAATAAATGAGGACACAGGCCCAACGACAACACTGAATCATCCTATTTTAGGACAGGCTTATCTTTCCATCATATCCCCGCTGCAGCCTGCCTGTATAGTGGTAGCTAACTAAGTGATTTTGTAACCTTCAAATGAGCCTCAAGTTTACTTCATTCAAGCGACTAGTGCCAGAAATTTATGTGGGGGCCTAGGAGAAAAAAAGACCCTTAAAATATTTAAAAATCAAATCAAATGAAGAATAAAGTCTGAGTGTAAATCTAACCCCTTACCATCAAGCACTAAATTAGACTGAACCTAAAGAGAAATAATATCGAATCTAAGTAAGTTATCCTCTCTGAGATCCTAGCTTCTTCTAGAATTTCCTAATCCTTTCACTGAAATAAAATACTGACACAGATGGGGAGAGAGAAAATCACTACATTCCTTTCCCTAAAAAGCATTACCAAGACCCTAGGCTAAAGGCATCTCTGCCAGACAGACCTTACCTCTCAGCTGCCCTCAGCTTTTCTGCACCCCGAGTATAAACTGCAATCGACCAATCCACACAGCGTGCAAAGCCTTCCTTTAGCAGCAGCTCTGTGATGTTGCCATTCTGAAAAACAAAGCACAAGAGAAGACAGAGATTATGTTCTACCGTCAGAGAATCCATTTCTCTAGACTTCTGACACAATTAACATAGACACAATCTGTGCTACAGGTCATTAAAAAAAGGTAGAGCTGTTTCTCTCATTAAAAATCACCCCTAAGACAGGAGACAGCATTCTGGGATGCCTCTAAACAGCCTTGGCTTTCTAGCCCAACACCCAGCTCAGTAACTCTCACTTAACAGGAGTAGGATAAACGTTAGTGGCATTGAATGGAATTGACTTTTCAATAGCTCTTCTTGTGGGCAGAGGAGGAAGTTAATCTTTAGTAGAGATTATACCTTATTATTTCCTTCCCTAAGATTAGCCCTTACTCCCCTTTTCATACGGGGAAAGCTAAGGAACAGGCGGTGAAGGAATAACTTAAGCTACATTTGGCCCAATGCATTAAATTCACATTCTACTGTGACAAAGCCATCTGGCAGGGCACGGCAGACAGCTAGCACTCCAGAAGAAACAGACATGACCTTGGCACAGTCCAAACCAACCCTCCCAGACTTCCACAAGCACCATCATGAAAGAATTCTCTAATCAATAACAGTAGTTTATATGGGATGTGGGTGATAATGAAAATCTACTTAAACTCAGTTTTACAAACATTTCCTATCCAAGAATAGCCCCCCCCAAAGTCCTCAATAGTCAGAACCACAAGATATAAAGAATCTTTGAATTTACTCAAAAACAGAATTAGGAGGTTACTTGATAAGGCCTGGAACACACAGAGTAATTTTTCTACTGGGCCTCTCCGGTGGCACAGCGGGTTGAAAGCAGCGCTGTGAAGCTGTCCGCAGCCTCTACAGTGAGGGTTTGATTCCCAGCCAGCCAGGGAGATACCCACATGGTGCGGCAGACCTCTCCTGTCTCGCCCGCTACTCCCCTCAGCAGTGTTTTCAGTCGTCTGCCTGTTCTGCTCCCTGCTCTGTCTCTGGTGAATTCTCTCGCCCTCCCACGCCTCTAGCCTGTACCCCAGTTCTTGTATAAATAATTAAATCTTTAAAATATAATAATAATTTTTCTATTTTTCCACAGAAAGGTTTTCTCATCATAGTTCTACCAATACCCCAAGAGTTAAGTACTAGACCTTCACATGAACTTTACTGACCCTATTCTACAGTTTTGGGTGCCACTTCTGGTCAATGTGGCAACCTCGCGCTTTCCTTACTGGTAATCTCTAGAACCTATACTTGGGAAATAAGAGATAAAAGTTCCTCTTTCCCTCAAGTCCAATAGCATTTGCAATTAGTTTTTTTAAAAGTGAGAAGTTGCACAGATGTGTCCAATTCTAACAGATAACTACTATCTCCCTGGAAACTGTGTCAAAATCAGTAGTCATCCTGCCGAATACTTTAATGGCTCTTAAACAAAGAGGAAAAAGAGAAGCAAACCACAGTTTATCAGACCCCTAGCATCCCTAGCCCCACACAGTCCTGGCTATACAGCACACTCACCGGATGAAGGATGGTACCCAGAATATTCTGGTTGTGACAGCTCTCCAGGATGATCTGAACATCTCTCTGAAGCAGTCGAGACTCGGTAAAAAATTTGGCTTCTGCAGCGAAAGGCTCTGGTGTTTCACTGCCATCTGCCTCCCGTCGAAAGGTTGGGCACTACAGTAAAAGTGGAGCAGGTGAGCACGGAAGCCTGAAGGTGAGTTCCAGGCACTCACAGTTGTCCAGAAAGCACAAACGCTGTAAAGCTAAACTAGGAAAGGGCTCAAATTGGGTCTTCTAACCTTCTTTAAAAAAACACACTGGTGGGCCTCTCCTGGTGGTGCAGCGGTTGAGCACTGGGCTGCGAAGCTGCCCGCAGCCTCTGCAGCGCCGGTTCGATCCACAGCCGCCAGTGAGGGTCCCATATGGCGTGACAGATCTCTCCTGCCACGCTTGCTGCTCCCCTCAGCAGTGTATTTCGTCAGTCTGCCTGTTCTATTCCCCACTCTGGCTCTGGTGAATTCTCTCACCCTCCTGAGCTTCTGACTGTACCCAGTGCTTGTATAAACAAATAAATAAATCTTTAGGGGGGGGAAAAAAAACACACTGGTAATAAAAGTGATTGGAAATAATATCTCAGATTTCTTGGTATGACAATAAAACTCACATCATGGGAAAAGTAATTTTCATTATAGTTAGAAATAACCCCGTGCCAAGAAGATTCACAGTCCCTCGCTTTACATCTCTGTTTTGTTGGGGGGTTTTTTGGCTATTTTACATAAAGACAAGCCCTACTCAGCAAACTTCAAAACATCCCATCCCCCTTTTTGGGTTTTAATAGCCTCTCAACATGCCCCCTCCCCACAAGTACTTAAAAAAAATTTTTAGATCATGTTTGATCTCATTAGAATTGTCCTACCACAAAGTTTAAAGTACTCGAGTCTATGTTAATGGTCCAGACTAGAAAGAAACAGTGGATCCCAAATTCCCAAGTAGGAGAATCTACCCTGAGCACTTCCAGAGACCCGACATCTACCCCATAGCACAAATATGGTCTGACCTTGATCCCTGACAGCATGACGGTAACCAGGTAGTTGTCTGGGAGGAGCAGGGCCCTGACCACACTGCCGTCCCGCACGTGCTCGATGATAGCTGAGGACAGAATAAACAGCTAAGTCATAAGTGAAAGCGGTGCCAGGGATACACAGTGCCCAATCAAACTGCCCGGAACAGGGTTCCTCTCCCGAAGCCCTCAGAAAGCCTCCCTATAAGAAGCAATGGTGACAAAGCACTGGCATAATCTGAGTGTTCACACAGCAGACTCTTCAACAAACCATGCCTGGGAATCAAGAAGACCAACTTCCATCTGCAGAACTTTTGGGAACCTATGGGCTTGCGACCCCCAAGCCAAGCTGCTTATTGACCTCTGGGTACCCAGCAAAAAAGATTTAGTCTCTATTCAGGAATGATAATGATTTCATTTTACTAAGTCTATCATTAACTGCTCTCAAATAGGGCCAATAACTAGCCAACAGACATCTGTGTGACTTGTGTATGTGTTAGATGTATACACGTTTCTAGTTCAATGTTTCGGGGCTGGCATTTAGTAGCCATCCTTTAGAGAACAGGAGGATTCCCATCATGCAAAAATAGCAGCAGTTTAGTGCCCTGCTCCCAGCAAGGACTAAGCTCTGCAAAATGCATCAAATATAATCTCTATGAAATAGATTCAAGTTCCTGCCCAAAATGCTTCACCTGACAATTGCCCATGGATGTTAGATCAGTAAGACAGTTTTGTAAACCTCAGGAAGCTTGAGAGCAAATAGGAAGAAATCACCCAGAGTCACGTGTGCCAGCAGCCTCACCGTTGACAGGCTTCTGGTGGTGCGCATCCACAAAGTGCCGTGGGTTCTCGATGGTATACTTGAGGTCCCGGACGGTATGGGAGCCATTCCCCTCACTCCACAGCCCTTTCTTGGCTGCCTTTGCTTGCTCTTCACATTCCGAAAGCCGGGTCTGCTCAGGACTGCGATGAAAACATTAAGCATGTGGTAAGTAAGTTAACAATGGAAATATCAGGCTCTCCTTTGAATCTGGGTTTCTACAGCATCTTCTTCCCTTGAAGAGACCAAGCACTTGTGTCAGCTCTCTGGCTTCAGACCCCAGTCTGAACCACAACCACCATGCATACAATTTCCAAATCCCAACCCTATTCCCCAAAATGACAAATTCAACCCTAAAAGCATTTAATGAAAAGATCCAAAGAACACACATCTTGGGGACTCCATTGTCAGTGATTACAAGAGAACAAGTTGGCAGCCCAGGAGGGAGCCGCTCCAGGGGGTTACAGCTTCATTTAACCATCCCAGATTCAGGAACCGGAATCCTGGCAGAGCTCAGCAGGGCACAGCACAGGGAAAATGACTAAGAACCACCCTCCCTCCCTGTCGTCTTTAGAACAGGGCTAGGGAAGGTAGAGCAAATCTGGTGTTATAGATAATGTCACCCCCAAACTACTTATACTCAATAGGGACAGTTAAGCAAAAGCAATCTGGAAACAGAAGTCTCTTCCCTCCCTCATCAGGCAAGCAAACAAACTACATCCAAGAGCTGCCAAAGGACAGTAGTGGGACCAAAAAACAAAAGCAGAAATGGCTCTTTTGCTCACATCTCTGAGCTAATGTGGCCAGTGGCTGCAAGTCCTTCCACCAGCTCAAATCCCGGCCCCGTTGCCGTCTGTCTGCAAAAATCCACCTCCCTCCTTTAGCAGTAGAGATTTCTAGCAGGGAGCACTGATTTGCCCCCTCTCAAGCCAGAAATCTTCAATATTGCTCTTTTGTTTCCCCACCAAAAAGATAATCACATCCCCAGGGATACAAAATTGCCCCTACAATTTGATGAAAATATGTAGCCTAAAAGACAGAAGCAAACAGAGAATCTGAGAAAAGGAGGCTTTAGGTTAAGACAACTTTGGAGAAAAAAGGACTGGGGCTCCAGGGGAGATTTCTTAGTTGAGATGGTACAGGATACATAGCTGTGGGCTTTTAAAATTCTTCATTCTGGTTTAAACTGGATTTCCCAAATATAGTGCAATGGTAGTCAAGTCAGCAATTTTCCTTGAGTTATACCTTCAGCATGCTTCCAAAAACACCACCTAAGACAAACCTCTTAATTCAACACTTTCCCACGCACCCCACACCCCAATAACAGTTCCAGCAATGTCTCCTTCTGGTCAAAAAGGACCACAGAAGTACATGGTGAATGACTCGGCACCCAAAGCCCACAAAGTCTGGAAGAATGCAGTAAGTACCTTTTTGCCTTTGCTCATGCCCATAGTTGGAACAGTTTATGCAAATATTTATCGAAAGCCTTTTCTACAGCTCCAACAGCCATGTGCTGCAGCAAGGACTTAATGATTTAAACAGCATTTTTAACCTCCAAATTAGTGATGTAGCAAATCACTTTTCAGAGTCTAAAGTGTTAATTAAAATCAGCTGCAATCCATCCTACTGAGGCAGCACTGGTGAACTTGAACATGATAAATATACTGCAAACCTGACATGCCTAACACTTCTAACAAGTCACACAGCAATTAGCTAACCACATATATTTATTTTTTACCAACTACTTCAGTATCTATAGATCCATAGGCCAAAACAAACTTCAGAGGCTTTGGAGAAAGATGAGTTTCCCATTTAATCCTTGTCTGTTTCCCCACATCCTAAAGCAGCAGAATTTGTTTTGAATTCTATTTATCATACCACTTTATTTTTCATTGCAGTCATTCCTTGCACATGATACACCATCAATTTGTCTTGGTTTATTGTCCATCTCCCTATTAAAAAGTAAGCAGATGCTAAATCTGTTCACTACTATATTCTCAGTGCCTAGAACACAGCCTGGCACATAGTAAGTGCTCAATAAATCTGTTTGGGATGGCTAGACAAATAATCCGGAATGGAATACCTATGGTATAAGATGCTGATGAATATGAAGAGCAGAGCTCCCTATTCTCAAAGTCCAGTTTTAAAGGAGTTATATACATCAATTGCCACTAATGATTAGTGGCCTCTAGGTTCAGAATAAGACACATATGGGCAGGAATTTCTAAAAGCCATGAGATCGACAGAAGTTACTCATTTTATGTCAGGGCATAGGAATGGAAATGCAGCAAAGCCAAAGTAGAGTTTACTACTCAAGCTCCAGCTCTCGGGGGGAGTGAAAGGAAGTCAGAGGGTCAGAAGAATTGGGACTACTTACTTAATAGCTCTCATGCCTTCTCTCCGTGTGGCCAAGCCCTCTGCAACCAGAGACTCTGCAATGTTCTCCCCATTGGTATCTGAGGAGGAAAGGGGGAATTAAACACAAGATTCAAATCTGCCCCCCCATTAATAAAGTGCTAATGGGACCGCTTTTAGCCTTAGCCCTTCAAGGAGAATAACACTGCAAGAAGTGGAGGAGGCAGTGATGCCATGTTGGGTTTTTCTGAAAACTTTTTGCCAAAAGCCCTTAAGTCTGCTTTTCAGGACTTGATTTCTGAGGTTCCAGTGTTGCTCCCAGGCCAAAGCAGCCTCAGGAACTACGGAAAGCCGGACACATTCAGCAGCTGAGTGTATAGAGAACTGACCGAAGGAAAACGGTGGAGCTGAATACAAATTCTACCACTTAGGAGCTTAGACAACATCTCTCAGCAGCTTAATTTGCTCCTCTGTAAAATGAGGAGAGTACTTGCTGAGTCAGGCTCTTGCAATATTATTCAGCGTGAAAAACAAGGAAATCCTATTGTTTTCTACAACATGGATGGATCTTGAGGACATTATGCTAAGTGAAATAAGTCGGAGAGAAAAATACAAATACTGTATGATCTCATCTATAGGTGCAATCTGAGAAACAAAAAACTAAGTCATAGAAAGAGATCAGCCTTGTGTTACCAGTGGCCAGGGAAGAGGTGTGGGGGGACTAGATGAAGGTGGTCAAAAGTACAAACTTCCAGGGGTGTAATGTACAATGTGAAGACTGCAAGGAACACTGTTGAAAGAGATATAAGAAAGGTCTGGAGAGAAAATACTAAGAGCTCTCATCACAAAGAGAAAACTATTCTTTTTCTTTCCATTGTATCGGTATGAGATGAGTGTTAGCTAAATCCACTGTGGTCATTTCACAGTATTTGTAAATCAAGCATCATGCTGTACATCTTAAACCTACATCATGATTTATGTCAATGATTTCTCAAAATTGGAAAAAAATAACATTTCAAAGCATGTAAAAGATTAAAAAGTAATAATAATATCTGTAAATCACCAAGCACAATGTATAGCAGGAATTAAAGCAAATCAAAAGTTAGTGCCCATACTCTGCACAACAAGACAGGCGATTCATTTAGGATTGTCTATTACTTGTTACACCAGGGACCAATTCCTTTCAGGATGTCCTATTCATATTCGCTGCTACAAGACAACACCACACCAGCTACATCATTTGATAAGACTTTTTCCTGCTCTCACTGAGACAGATTCTAGATTCCTAATCTCTCTTGCAGGCAAGAAAAATGAAGTTAAGCATAACACCCAACCTGATTAAGTCCTACCTGAGCACTTGAAACATTAATTGCATTTCCATGTTATTGGAAAAAGCTTTTAGGCTCTGTGTGTTCTCTTAAATCTCTGCTTGTCAACCAAAACGATAAAGAAAGATATCTATAAGGGAATCACTGCATAAAAATCTTTAATATGGCAGAGAACAAGCTCCTAGATAAACTGAAACACAGCAGTCTAGCTGATAGGTAATGACAGTTCAGAATAAAATTCTGTAAGATTTATATTCACTACACTGTACATTGACTTCTGCAAGCAGTAACAAGTACACTCAAATTCCCAAAACCCAACCTAAATGCCTTGCCATTAACATCCCCGAATTTCTGCAGAGGCAAAATTGTAAGCCCCTTTCCTACCAAGAAAAGCTGAGCTAATGATATTTATACAAAGAATGCTCAGGTTCTGAGGATTACCTGAACCTTTCCACTGAGGTTACTGCTGAGGCCAGCTGGACACACACAGCTATCTGACATTAGTAAATATTATAATGGTACTTTCAAAGCAACAGGAATCCCAAAGAGTGAAAAGTCAAAAGAAAGGATTTATATTCCAAAGAAAAGATGAGCAGTCAGATGCCCAAAGGTTAGAGGAAACAAAGAACGAAACCCAGGCACAAACCAATCAGCCAGTCAACAGCAGCAGCCCCAACAGTGCTGACACTTCCTGGGCCCACAGTGCTCAGAAATGGTCGTGGCCTAGCCCACTTCTAACATGCAAATTCAGGTTGCTTCTTCAAAACAGGAGAAAAATACATTCACCTGATTTGAACTCCCAAAGAAGGCAACAAAATGTGGTAGGTAAAATACTGAAAACAGGGAATCTGTAGGGTAAGAATCTGAGTCTTGCATGTTCTATATCATCTAAGGCGAACGTGATAACCACTGCTTACGGAAACAGACTGTGGCAGGTCATGATGTGAAAAGTCACATCTGGGGAAGTCACATCTTGAGAGCAGGTGAGCAATCTGTTTTCTCTAAAAATCGGAAGACTAATCATCTCTTTTCCTACTAGGTTGCAAGTCAACCACAAATCTTCAAATTCAATCATTCTCCTCCATCTTAAAGAGAATAATCATGAAATAGGATAACACATGAATAATATCAATCTAAGTCAGTGTTTCCTTTCATTAGAAGTGGCATTTGGTTAAAGAGACTGAGTTATAATATCTGAGGGAAACATTAAACTTTAGGTCATTTCGTCTTTAGAAGTGTAAGACGAAGAAAAATCTAATTGGTCTTTCGGTATGTATTTACTGATCACTTCCTATGTGCCAGGTTTTTTCTCAGCAACGCTACATAAACACACTGAATTATATGCAGTTTGTAATTTAGGTCTGCTTTAAAAAATGAACTTTTAGAAGATAACCTTAAAGAGAAGCTGACATTTAAAATTAACATAAATAAGTCAACCATTTTAGTTGGAGACCAAGGTTATTTAAATGAACTCTGAGAGATGGTCTCTTCCAAAATATTTGTGCCTGAAACTTTTTGTAGTCCAGTGAGGTCTCTTGCAGGGTAACGAAAGACTTAGCAACTTCATGGAAATGGAATATTTTAGGTAATAGACAACTGCATTTTGAAGAGTGCAGTTTTTTTTTAATCTTACCTTCTTCCTAACCAGTAACCACCCAACAATAATGCTGAAACATTTTATTTCTTACTATATTATTTGAATTGTGGGTATAAAAAGCAATTTTGCTTTTTGAAAAGATTCCATATATTTCTATAATTTCCCATTCAATCAAGAAGCCATTTGTCTGGGAGGCTATTTCTCTACTGGGTAAACTGGACAAGACAGTGCCAAGGGCATCCCCAACTCACTGTTCTAAGACTATGCAATTAAAACCAGAATCTTAAGAGGATGTTGTTAGTCTTGCCGTATACTCTGCTTGCTTACTTCCAGTCTACTGGCTACCCAAGTCAAACAGATCACCTAAAGCAGCTCATTTAGGAGGTCATTTTATCAAAGAATCAAGGAAACTTTAAAAAAAAAAAATCTGCTCCCCGAATAAGTCAATATAAACACAACTACCACTGTATTCCCCTGGCTGCTTTTTTTTTTTTTTTAAAGATTTTATTGATTGATTGATTGATTGATTGATTGATTGATTGATTTATACAAGCACTGGGTACAGTCAGAAGCGCGGGAGGGTGAGAGAACTCACCAGAGCCAGAGCGGGGAGCAGAGCAGGCAGAAGGACCGAAGCACACTGCTGAGGGGAGCAGCGGGCGGCAGGAGAGGTCTGCGCGCCATGTGGGACCCTCCTCCGGTGGCCGGGGAGCAGCCGGGGATCGAACCGGCGCTGCAGAGGCCGCGGGCAGCTTTGCAACCCAGCGCTCAACCGCTGCGCCACCGGGGAGGCCCTCCCCTGGCTGCTTTTATCAAGAACATTCTACCAAATCTTTCAGTATTTCAGTTCAAACTACATTTCTCAATCTTACTGTTCCTCCACCCAATCCAAAAAAGATCAGAATACCATCCCACAGCCACCTGACTCAGCTAAACAATAGGTGCAGATGTGCACATACACATATATATATATTTATTAAGCGCACACACCAAGCCAGAGCAAGGTACTTTACATATGCTATCTCTTCAGACTCTCTCAATAACCTACAAATGAAAAAACTACAACAGGGGTGCAGAGGTTAAGTTGAGGGCTGAGTAAGGGTACACTGGAGAAGAGTCAGGGCCCTAAGCCGCATCTAAATAAATCCAAGGGCCTCCCTGGTGGTGCAAGCGGTTGAGCGCAGCACTGTGAAGCTGTCCGCAGCCTCTGCAACGCGGGTTCGATCCCGGCCAGCGAGATCCCACATGGCACAGCAGACTTCTCCTGTCTCTCCTGCTACTCCCCTCAGCAGTGTATTTTGGTCAGTCTGCCTATTCTGCTCCCCGCTCTGTCTCTGGCGAATCCTCTCACCCTCCAGCACATCTGGCCTGTACCACGGTTCTTGTATAAATAAATAAATCTTTAAAAAATAATAATAATAAACAAATAAATAAATCCAAAGTCCGCATTCCTTCCATTCCATGACAGAACACATGGCTTGCAAAAAAAAAAAAAAGCCCTATACAAACCTTCTTCCCTAAGCTATGACTCCTAATAGGCAGTCTCTTCTTCTCAGAAGAAGAAAAACCACAAGATAGATAGAGGAAATAAAAGATGCAAAAGGAAATCTATAGGAATTCAATTAGCACTATAACCTAGAAGCACAGAGCCACTGAGTTCCAGGAGTTGATGGCCTAAAGTCAGGGGAAAACACTCTGCTGCACTGTGATCTCCTAAAGCCAGGTCAAGAAAGCATGCACAGGTGTGAACAAGGAGCAGGCACATCGGGGCAGGGCTCTGCAGCCACATGCCATGAGCTCCAACACCCAAAACACTTCCAATTAGACCTCTGGGAACCATCCAAGGGCTGCGCCCACCAAAATTCAGGCTGGTCTTCCACCCACGAAAGCTGAACTTCAGAGATACCAACTTGGAGAAATGAGTCCTCTCCTCCTTGCTACTCACCTTTTCCAAGGTAGATCATACCATACTCTCGTCCCTGGGGGGTCTTATTTTCTATCGTGAAACAGACTTCCTTCCCAATCAGCTTCTTCCGAAGGAACTCTCGAGCAGGAAATGCCCAGGGCTGAAAGACAAAACAAATGTGTAACATGAGAATTGCCTAGAACAGCATTCCAGCAACTTCTTTCCTTCAATATCCTGGCCCTGTACTAGGCCCTTAAGAGAACATAAAAGTGAAATGCACAAATGGCAGGTTGTACATGTATGGGGCTCAGAAAAAAGAGGGGTGACAGGAGGCCCAAAAAGAGGCCTCATCGTTTCCCAGAGGCTTCTGGTAGTACTGTCCCCCAACACTGCCTATTAGGAGTCATAGTTTACTTTGTGAATAATGTCCAATAATTTTATAGCACTAACCATGTGCTGGCCACTATTCCCAATGCATTATATTTATCAACCTGTTTCTGAATGGCAAGTCCAGGTACCAGGAGCTCAGGCAGCCAAAGGCAAGTCATAAATAACAACTACCACCTCCATTTGTTTGCTGCTCTCCAGTTTACAAAGCACTTTCTCTGACTATTAAACTAGACTGAAACCAGTTCAAGGCACTATTGGAGTAAGGACAAGGTTCTAACACTATTATTATTTCAGAGTGAGCTTCCTGCTCAAGTCAGAGCCTTGCATATGCTACTCCCACCCCCTGTTAAAAGGACAGCAACAAAGTTGAGAAGGGCAAGAACCATTCTCCCCAAAACACTGCCTCTTCTACTTTTGCTCTAGTCTGAAGCTGCACCAGAATCTTGAGGAGAACACCAGTGCTAGGCCCTGGTAAGGGATCATCTCGTCAACAGTGGCTGTTCCCTCTCACCCACTAAAGACCCTGACACAAGGAGCAAACCATAGAGCCACACAGTGGGAAGGAGCTCTCTATGCATCTCAAAGATAATGGACAAGGGGTGGTTTTGCCCTATCACTTCTAGAATGGTACAAAGAAAGATATGTCTCCTATGAAGTAGCCCTGTCACAATTAGTGGCCACTGGCATTTGAATTTATGTCTGGACTTAGCTTAGCGCCCAAAGTTCCCTTAGAACAGAAATGAGGAAGAAGGGGTAAGAATTCAAAGAGTGAATGATCTGTAGGAGCTCATGTGCAGAAAAAACTCAAAGTATAAAAGGGGAGCATGGCATGTGGCATCTATTATCTCTTGGAGCCACAGAACTCAGGCTACACACAGAAAAGGCACAATAGTACATCTGTGGCCTGAAGGAAGCATCTGCTAACCTTTTCAGCTCATGGAGATTATTCCATGGGGTTATCCAACAAGTTTTCTAGAAGAAAAAAAAATCTAAATGACTTCCCAGAAACCTGTCAAAATGTGGCAGTCCACCAACTCACTGGGCCGGTCCTCACAAAACCTTCACTGTTACTATACAACATCCATTGTGAAGGGTTCCACGAAGAACTGGTCCTGAGGTGGTATCCCGAAGGCTCTAACAAGCTTGTACTCACTCATCTATTGCTATATCCTCAAAGCACCAAAGAGCAAAGGAACTAATCATTCAGCAATAAGGAGTCTCCAGATTTGTGTCTCAATGTACCTTGTGCCCCAACCCCCAAAAATTAAAGAGTCTGATGATTGATAAATAATCAATTACCAATTGATTGACCAATTACCACTCACATAAGGGAATAGTACTGAACAGCCTCCTACATTTTTATTACTTCTATAAACATCCTCAACTAGAGAGCTCGTGTTTACGATTCCATTTTGAGTGTTTTGCTAAAATGTAAAATTCAGTAACACCTGCTTTCCGAAATACTTGGAAAAGCTCTAACAGAACAAGTTCTCCTAAAGGAAGTCAAGACTGGTAAAATTTCATTTATCAAGGGTTAGTCCACAAGGAAATACCTAGCCTGCGTGTGGAAACCCCCAATTTCTACCAACCAGGCAGAATTGCTGAAAGCTTTTAGAAGGCGTACTGCAGGAGCATGTTTCACAGTTAGCACTGACCCCTAAGAGAAAGCCACACTAGGGGGTCTTGAAAGGACATAATGATGATACCTAATCCTTTAAGAAAAAGATTCCAGTTTCTGTAATCTTCCTTTCTCATACCAGCCTTCTCAATCTGTAGTACATCAGGGCTCAACAAATTTAATAACTGATCAGGAGACTCAGGAAAGGATGACTGAGCAATTCCCAGTGAAAATTCTCGTTCAAGTATCCAACACAGAGGACAGTGACCTGTCCTGAAGACTGTCCCATAGAATCTCCCAGAATCAGTCTAAGAGTCAAGCATAGGGGAATCTGCTCACAGCATTTCTCAAATAAGGTCCAGAATGGCTCACAAGAGTAGGTGTGGTCTTCAGAGCTCCATCTAAGAAGCAATTATCTCAAAGTAGTTGAGACTCCAGATTTTTTTCTTCCCTTTAGAATGCCCAACACGAGGCAATCCAGCTGCCTGCTTTGTGCTCTAGACCCTATCAAGGTTCTGATGTCTCCCACAGTGAAATGGGATTTTTTTTTTTTTTTTTATAGAGGCATGTTTTATTTATTTTTTGTTTGTTTGTTTGTTTGTTCTGTTTACACATGCACTGGGTACAGTCAGAAGCGTGGGAGGGTGAGAGAATTCACCAGAGCCAGAGTGGGGAGCAGAGCAGGCAGAAGGACCGAAGCACACTGCTGAGGGGAGCAGCGGGCGGCAGGAGAGGTCTGCGCGCCATGTGGGACCCTCCTCCGTTGGCCAGGGAGCAGCCGGGGATCGAACCGGCGCCGCAGAGGCTGCGGGCAGCTTCGCAACCCAGCGCTCAACCGCTGCGCCACCGGGGAGGCCCGAAATGGGATTTTTTTTAAAGACTTATTTATTTATGGATACAAGAACTGGGGTATAGGCCAGAGGAGTGCGGGGTGAGAGGATTCACCACAGACAGAGCGGGGAACAGAACAGGCAGACTAACTGAAATACACTGCTGAGGGGAGCAGTGGGCAAGACACCATGTGGGATGCTCCCTGGCCGGCCGGGCATCGAACTCGTGCTGCAGAGGCTGCGAATTGCTTCATAGTGTGGTGTTTAACCCCATGCGCCACCAGGGAGGCCCATGAAATGGGATTTTTTAAATTCCAATGTTTTCTCTGGGCCAGATACCCAAAAAGTGAACTAACTGAACAAGATCAAATCCCTGACAATATAAAATCTTAAACTAGCTACTTCTGTACATGGCTCAAAGCTCAATACTTCTTGACCCTCCTTCTCTTCTATTTCCCACTGCCAGCTATAAATGTAAACCCTCTGCTATCTCTCTCCCATCACCCCAATTCTCAAAGGCCCACTGAATGTAGGACTGTGATTTTCCATGAAACCAACACAGAGTTTCACATGTAAGAGCTCAATAAATCTGTGAGAAATAAATACATAATTCCCACAGTGCCCATCAATGCAGTATCCAGGCTGCCTGCAGTAGCTAGGCAACGCCGAGGATTAGCCTGGAACAGGGCAGTGACGGCTGGGGACATATAGTGGAGCTGCTTTTATTGTCACAGGACTTAGGAGAGAGCTGAGTGTCTCTGAAAGATGTTATCGCGAAGGAAGGCAGGGAATAGTCAAGTAAATGATATTTGGGACAGTGATACAAAGAAAGCCAATGGGCGATAACGTCCTTGGCTCCATTCGAATGTGAAAAACATGTTCCAAAACAAAGAAAGTCAGAGAGAAAGAGTAATGGCTCATTCCACCATTGACTGATGCCCAAAAAGGAGAAGCTCAGGTTTTTTCCCCCTCATAATTCACTTACATGTTTATTCACAGTACACCTGCTTCATGTCAGGCAATGGTGGGCATAAGAACAGAGAAGAGAAATACAATCCCTCCATTCGAGGAGCTTACAATCTATGACAGAAAGACATGTGGACATGGGACGAAATGCTCTGAATGTGTGACAGCACAAAACTAGGATAATGACAGGAGAGGCCAGGTGTCGTGTCTCATGAGGCCGAGTCTTAAGAGAGCAGGACTGCACCAGGACACAGGTGGAAAAGGAACCCCAGAGGACAGAGTAGCTTCAGCAAGGTGTAAGTGGGCAAGACTCCTCAGCATTGGAAAAGCAATGAGGACTTCCTCATGGCTGGAAATCAGCATCCCAGAGACACTTCAAAAAGAGAAGACCAAAAGTCAAATGGGCGTCTATCTCAGGTGAAGGCACTAAGATCCATCGCAGACAGAATCACAAAGACATGTTGCTTTTCAGTGATGCACATCTGAAACTTAGGTTCTACTATAAGGTTTCCTCAATCCAAAAAAAAAAAAATCACAATAAATGTGATATTTTTAAAAGTTAAAGAAAATCACTGAGGCAGCTGTAATACAAAGCAAAGGAATAAATGAAATTATGTTTCAAAAAGATCTGGGGGCACAAAGAAGAGGAATGAAAGCAACAAGACTTATTTCTGTATTCCAAGCACATTATCAGGGTTGAATGAAAGAACTATAGGAGTAGTAATGAAGTTTCAAAGATGGAGAAGAGAGGTTTTAAGGAGGCAGAAACTCTAGGTCTTGATGAAGGCTTGATATTGGAGAGAGGGGGAGGGAAACCAGGTTCAAGCTACTAGTTGGCATCGCTGCTAACTTGAGTCAAGGCAGCTTCAGAGGCATGCTAAGAGGAAAAGCAGCTCAGCAGGAAAAAGAGCGAGTGGGTTCTTAGGGCAGAGGAATGCTGAGGAAAAGTGAAATATGTAGCTAGCAAATACCTCATGTTGCAGGGACCTTTAAGTTACTCAGAGAAACTTAGACTAAACTGTTCTGGAAGAGAAAAAACACTGAACTATATAAATATATAAAACTACAGTGAGAGCTGGGATCAGATTACATGGTGTTCTTGTAGCTAGGATAGTTCTGGTAAGATTTTATTGTACTGTTACATAGGATACAGTTAAGATATTTTAGGACAAGTTCCAACTGGCCTTGTGTTTCTCTGCCCTAGATTCTCATCCACAAAACAGGAAATTAAAACTCAACCCTTCTTTCTTTGAGGCTACACTGCCTCTTCATCTTCTCTGGAGATGAACTTGATCAGTTCCAGCCAGCCAGGGTCAACACTCTTCTTTCAGAAGCAGTCAGGCCATTATACAACACAAAATTGAAAAGAAAAGAACTATTCAAAATGTTGGTCAAGAAAAGTACTTAGCATCCAAAATTTAAAAAGTGCTGAGGGAGGATTCAATTTTCTGCACTTGGCCTGGCAGTATTAGGGGGTAGCTGTAGTAGCAGAAATTAACAGATAACAGCAGCGAACGCCACCAATAACATTTATTACGTTCTCTACAGGCAAGTGCTCAGCATTTTGTGTCATCTGAGTAACCCTGAGATATATACCATCATTATTCCTAATACCTTTGGCCGCTAATGGAGGACCAATGAAAAAGAAATTACTTTGATCTGGTCATTAGCCCAACAATCTAATTACTGTTATCAGCAGAAATATGGGTAAATTTCCCTAACATTACTTCACCTTTTTTTGCCCATCCCCTACCTTCCTCTTAATTCAAACAAAATGCCCATTAGTGTGATGGGGAAAAATAACAAATGTTTTCCTTTAATAAAAGAGCCCCCTTAGTTGTAGTATTTATTCTTCCTCATATCTTTGGCAGAAAGGAGAAGGAAACTCTTCGCCCAACACCATCAAGTTGGGACAAAAGACAATCAGAATCTACAAATTTCATTTTTGATAGTTAAAAGCATTACTAAAGAAGACAAGAACTGATATTTCGAAGTTTAAGAGCCAAGGTAACTACTAAATGCCAGAATCAGGATTCACAGCAGCCGCCTGGAGACAAAAACGTAAGGCATCTAAGGCAGACCACAAGGGCGGCAAGGTGGCCAACCACTGGAGGTTGGGCACAGGGAATGGAGAGGGTGGTGGGGCAAAAGCTCAGAAGAAAGTTCTCAAATCGCTAACACAACGGTTCTTGACTGCTACTGTGTCACAAGTTGCCTTGAAAAACTGAGTAAAAATCCCTTCCGTAAAAAATTTTGCAAACAATCATGGATGGAGTTCACAGATACCTTACGGGATACATGGATCCCAGCTTAAGAATGTAGAATAAAGCACAGGCCCAGCATTTCTACAAGGCTTCCACTGATGACAATGAGTGTGCCTGTGTAGGAGATAACATCTCTGGAAGGAGACACAAGACACCCATAAACCATAAGCAGCCCCTCAGGAGAAAGGCTAGAGACAAACTAGATTTTTCACTGCATAACTATAGGGTAAATGAGTTAATCAGCTTTTTAAGCCACTAGCCTTTGTGCCTATCACCTGCAGCCTTGATCCTGCTGCTGCAGAAGGCGCTTGGGATCAGACACCTGGAGTATGGGTGTGGGCATGCGTAAGTGGGCACAGCTGAGCCTAGAGATCAGCGCTATAAGGGCGGCGACACTCAGAGACCCAGGCGGCAAGACAGTTACGAGAGGATGCCTGAGTACAGAAGAGGTGAGAACCGCCAGAGAGAACCCAGGGAAAAAGTGTAAAGATTCACAGGGGGTTGGGAGGCTTGGTTGTCCCCAATGCCCGCCCTGTACCTGGTTGCCCTACTATAGTATCCTTCTGCATTTTGGCTGTGAATGAAAAATTCAAGCAAACTGGTAAGAATTCTCCCAGAACGAATGCAACCTCAAAGAGCAGAAGGTCATGAATGTGTAGTGATGCAAGACATTGTGGGTGTCCAGAGCCATCAGTCCCCGATAATACACAGGAAAAAATGAGTGTATTAATCAAGGAGAGGGGGCTTTAACTCAGCCCAGGGTCAAGAGGCCCGGGCTGCACCTACCTCATCAGGTGTATCTTTTGCATCAGGCTGAGCTGCTGCTGCCCGGCGGGCGAGGTTTCCAGCTCGGATGTTGCTCAGGTTGATCTGCCTCTCAGGCGGAGGCCCACCACGAGGCTGCCCTCGGACGATGATGGCGCACCCTGACAGGACCTAAGGGGGAGGAAAAAAGAAATTAGCGGCACTATCAGGTAGTATCACTTCAATAAAGTACTTTACCACTATATCCCTAGTGTCTCAAACAGTACTAGGCACCCTGGGGGCACTCAAATACTTGTTAAAAGATGATGTGAACAGGATTATTTTTAATCTTTTTTTTAAAGATTTATTTATTTTTATACAAGAATTGGGGTACAGGCCAGACATGCGGGGCAAGAGGATTCACCAGAGACAGAGCGGGGAACAGAACAGGCAGACGGACTGAAGTACACTGCTGAGGGGAGCAGCAGGTGAGACAGGGGAGGTCTGTCCCACCATTTCTCCCTGTCCGGCCGGGAATCGAACTCGCGCTGCAGTGGCTGCGAATTGTTTCACAGATTGCATTTTAACCCCTGCGCCACCAGGGAGGCCATATTTTTAATCTTATAAGATAAATGCCTATATAAAACCTTAGGTTAAATTCTGAAATAATGGGCCCAGAAATGTAAGCAGGAATTAAAAGTCAGAAAACAGACTGGAAGGAGGCACGAGAGTTACGGAGCTTAACAGCCTTTGTCACTGCACCCCAGTCAGTGCCACCACCTGGGTTCTTTTTAATTATTAAGAAGTTAGCGTCCCCATCCACACATTCCAGTTGAGGATGGAAGCAGGCAACAGGAGGCTTCAAGGACAAAGCTGAAGGGAGAGGTCCACACACACACACTGGAAGGGGCTGAATGAACCCCACAAGGAAGCAGTGCAGCCAGAGCCCAGCACCAGCACTTCAAATGCAGGCAGGGCTGTTGGGCCAGGCCAAGCAAAAAACACAGCCAGCATCTAAAACTGGATGACTGAATGAGAAAATAAGAAGGTAAGGCTCCCTAGCACAGTTGCTCCTTTTGTTCTTCTAACCAAAGGAGCAGGCATAGAACCCACTTACTACTGTGAAACGCTCTGAAGTTCACTGGTATTTATCATTAAAATATCCACTGGGCAGAAAGAACTATGAAATCAAATAGGAGAAAATAAAGTGTACAGAAAAAATAAACTCCAAGCTCTGCAACTTGTCTTTGCTCGGTGAGGCATGACTTAGTGAACAGGTGGGCTCCAACACGGGCTTCACTAGATCCCAAAGACGCTCACCTGCATGCTTCAGAACAAGAACTGCTGCTGCAAGGTGAGAAGCTAGAAAGCTGGCCGAGGACTGCCAAAGTGGAGCTGTGTGGGAGACGAGCCCAGAACCGTCTTTGGCAAGGGAGCAGGATCAAGGAAGAAAGAGGAAAGGCCCTCCTGTGCGCTCTGGCTTAGCAGGCATTTCCCCCTTACCGCTCCACCTCACCTGATGCTTTAAATTGTTAAATTTAAATACAGAAGTGCCTTACAATATACATACATATTGGGCCTCCCCTGATGGCACAGCGGTTGAGCACTGGGATGCGAAGCTGCCCGCAGCCTCTGCAGCACCGGTTCAATCCCCAGCCACCTGCAAGGGTCCCACGTGGCGCGACAGACCTCTCCTGCCGCGCCTGCTGCTCCCCTCAGCAGTGTATTTCATTAGTCTGCCTGTTCTGCTCCCCGATATGGCTCTGCTGAATTCTCTCGCCCTCCCGCACTTCTGACTGTACCCAGTGCTTGTATGAATAAATAAATAAATCTTAAAAAAAAAAATACACATACATATTAAAGAATAAGAAGCAAACAATTAAATAACCACCACCCAGTGAAGACGGAGAAGACTGACAGGACCTCGATTCCCTGTGCCCCTCTGTTGCAGTCCCTCTTCCTGACCACCCCCATTATCCTGACCCATGACAACCACCCCTCCCCCCTTTGCTTTTCTGTGCAGTTACATCTATGCGTCTATCTCTACGCGATACAGTTTGCATGTCTTATTTCTGAATCCTGTATATAAGTTCCGTCTACCGTATGGACCAAGCAAGACTTGATTTAGGGGTGGGGGTATGTGTGTGTGAAACACTCCTGTTGATGTGAAACACTAGTTCATTCACTTTCTGGCTGCACAGTATTCCATCGTAGAAATGTGCCACCGTTCACTTCATCCATTCTATCTTTTTATAAAAACTGTCCAACAAATAAGCACATTCCATTTTCTTAACAGTGCTCTGACTACATGTCTCAGTACGCCCAGTACCTTACACACACAAACCCTGGTCTAATGCACTCTTCCTCCTCCCTGACTACGGAGTGACACCCATGATAAAAGACTTTTCCTTAGTTAGAAGACATGCTTTTCATTTTTACCCTTTCTGATCAAGTGTTGCCAGAAATTAAACTATGCCTCCAGCCAAATATCCTTGTGAACAGCCTTTCCCGAAACCCCATGCACTGGGCATCATCCCAGGGAACTGTTGTTCTAAAAAGACAAGCTCTCAAATAAAGTGAAGCCAGGAAAGGACAGGTATACTATGGCAAGGATGCCTGAAGTTCCTGAACTAAGAAGGGCCTAAGGATGAAACGGAAAAGAACTTGACCCTGATTTACTCAACCAATTCTTCACAAGTGGCAGAAGCCAAAAAGCATGTTGCAAAATACCCACCTGCACTTGAAATCATTGATGCACAAATTCCAAACAGGGCTTGGAGAGCCGAGCTACACACAGCATACAAACCAGAGCACCTGTCTCCGATGCCTGCTCTTGCTAGAGTTCACAAAAGGTAGAGCACTCCTAGTACCTCTTGGGAAGTCCAAGTAAGAAGAGTTAAGGCCTATTTTTTTTAAAGATTTACTTATTGATGCATACAAGAACTGGGGTACAGGCCAGAGGTGTGGGGGGGGGGCAGGGTGAGAGGATTCACCAGAGACAGAATGGGGAACAGAGCAGGCAGACTGAATGAAATATACTGCTGAGGGGAACAGCGGGTGAGACAGGTGGGATCTGCTGCACCATGTGGGTAGCTCCCTGAACAGGACTGAACTCATGCTGCAGTGGCTGCACATAGCTTCATAGTGCTGCAACTTAACCCCTTGCACCACCAGGGAGGCCTGAGTTAAGGCCTATTTACAAGACCAATCACCTTGGCTGATGAGGACTGAGAAGTGAGCATTGACCCAAGTTAGGAAACAGTGTTTACTTCTCAAGTATAACAAAAGGCACTGGAACGCTCAAGAACAAAATGGCTAATGAGAAGAACCCCACGTTCCCCTTAAAAAGGTATTATTGCTATCTAGTAAACTAGATCCCTGCAACAATGAGTTTGTAACATCCTGGTCTCATTAGGGACTTTGGCGGGAATTTTCCAAAACTTCCTTTGTACCAATAAAACTTCCCCTCTCCCTGAATACTATTCTGAACACAATCTGTCAGAACTTTGCATTGCTTCACCACATGCAAGACCAGAGTCAATGCTGGAATTATTAATCGAGATAGATGACTTCCTTATAAACTGCTCTACATCGTTCTTACTGTTGCATACATAAATTCAAGCAGCAGTCACCAATTCAATCTCCTAAACAAGAACAGGCATGTACTCTGGTAGCTATGCCTACTCCCCCAAGAAGAAAGGACGAACAGGTATAAATCTTTCCTCTGTACCACTCTCCTCGTGGTCTAGCCTTGGTGGAGAGGCAGAAAGGCTGGCTGCACACCATTATGAAAGGAGAAACCCATCTATAAGAAGAAACTCATCTCCTTCCTACTATTTATAAGAGTTAAAATAGACCCATCCTTCCCCAGGGAATCTAGTTTACTAGATCAAAACACACTGCGCCACTTCTTGCTATCTCCACTTCATCTTTGAGGTCCTGTTAAACTTCCTCCAGGTGGAGGAAGTCCCCTCCCTGTGAAGTCTTCACTCAAGCTCTTCCTCAATAAAAAAATTGAATGGCCTTCTCTTTTTTAAAAAATATTTTATTTTATACAATTCTTACATCATTTTTCATTTTTGCACAATGTATGCATTTTCATTTTGGTTATATTCCCCATACAATTGCACACCCCCCCTTATTTTGACCCTAATCCTTCCTCTCTCCGCCGCGCCCCCCCCCCGCCCCGCCCCGTAGTGTGTCTCTGGTTTATAGTTGCTTGTTGATTTTGATTTTTACTTTGCATTAATTAGTCTTTTTCCTGATCCCTTATTTAGGTTTTTTAAATTCTGGCTATGAGTGAGACCATCCGGTATTTTTCTTTTTCTTTCTGGCTTATTTCGCTGAGCATGATCCCTTCCAGCTCTATCCATGTTGCTGCAAACTGCATGTGTTTATCTTTTTTGATAGCTGAGTAATATTGAATGGCCTTCTCTTAACTTTCAGTTCCCCACCAAATAAAGCCAAGGAGCAATATAGCTTCTGGGGGAAAAAAATACTTAACATGTCATTAAGTAAAATATGAAAGAGATCTACATATCTAACTTCTATCACATATAGCACCAAAACAGGTCCTGTTTCCTTTCTGAAAGCTATTTTTATAATTTCATTTCACTGAAGGACTCATGTCTTCATTGATTAATTTGACACAAATGTACTGAGTGGCTACTATGAGCCAGACCTCACTGAAACGAAATAGACAAAACTGTCTTCTCCTGGAGAGTTGACACTGAAGAGGGGGGTTGAGAGTGGCGGGGGGGAAACAGCAACAACCAACATAATAAGTTAATATATTGTTTGTTTATCAGAATTTTAATTTCAGAAGAATAATGTTAAGATTGAGAGGAAACTGTCATGGGTAATTGTTCTGCCAAAGCAGTACTGATTCATGTTGCAAACTTTCACGGATGTGGTAATTATCCTTAATTGCTAATTTATAGGGCATAGAAAGCAAGTCATATGGTAACTGCTTTATCCAATTATATTAATAAAATGACATATTCTAGAAAAACGATCCTAGTCCTACCTGATACAGCAGGAGGTTTGTGAAAACAGCTGTCACAATGAGTTAGTTTGATTGAGGTTATGGATTAGACATTTCTCCGCTCTGCCAATAAAGGTTGCTGGGGGACGCAGTGTGATTCAGAGGACCTGGCTCCTGGGCACAAGCTGGATGGTGACAAAGGCTGAAA